CAAGGGGAAGAGTCAGGGACGTCGCTCTTCAACCCCTGCCCGGCGCTCTAACTTGCCAAGAGACGTCCGTCTCCCAGCGGACCCTCTGAACCCCAACACTCTCCCATGGCATGATTTAAACATCCAGGAGGGAGTATGGAGGAAGAGGAAGGAGAGAGGTGTCTGCTTGAGGTGTGAGGGACAACATTTCCTCAAGGACTGTCCCTACAGGCCTAGCCCAACTCAGTAAAAAAACTGAAGCTGAACCTAGAGACTGCAGTTCTCTCCAGTGTTGCACCTGCATCTGCATCTGCAACAACTTTAGTTGAGACTAGTTCCTTCCTTCCCAGTGTGGGGACTGCGCGGGCAGCATCCTTCATTTATGAGGATCCTGACCCGGATCAGGAACCGGATCAGTCTGAGTGTCAGTCACTTGCTGCTTTTTTCTTTCATCTGAAAGAACAAAAGCAGAACAAGTCTGATCTCATACTCCTTCATCCCCTGATCAATCACAGTAGAATCAAAGGGCTGCTGGACTGTGGAGCCACCATAAATTTCATGTCCCCCAACGCAGTAAAAAAACTGCACCTGGGCATGAAAGTGGTGCAACTGCAGCAACCGCTGCAGGTCAGAATAGGTGACTCCACTGTTCTAACTATCAGGGAGAAGGTCATGGGTATCCGTGTAACCTTCAACAGTGCTGCAGAAGTCAAACACAGTATGAACTTCTACATATTCCCTGATCTGCCCTTTGATCTTGTGTTCTCCATGCAGTGGCTGAAAGCAGTCAACCCAAGGATCGATTGGCAAATCCCCAAGGTTGAACTGCCAAACAGCAAGGGGGTGTATCAGCCTTGTATGATTGTTGTTGATCACCACCCTAAGACATCATGCTTCTGCCTGAGAGCGAGAAAGTTTTATGCTCTCTCACACCAGTATGACCATGAACGTTTGTTCATAGCTCTGGTCAAGCAGACAGACGCTCCCACTACTCCCTGTCCTCTTGAGATACAGCAGGTAGTGGACCAATATGTCGATCTGATGCAGGAGCCCTTTGGGTTACCCAACCGGCCAACCAAGCATCATATTGAGCTGCTGCCTGGGGCGTTCCCTCCCAAGGGCCGCATCTACAAGATGTCACCTGCTGAGCTTGAGGAGCTTAGGCGACAGCTTAAGACCCTGACCAGCAAGGGCTGGATCAGGCCCAACACTTCTGAATTCGGTGCTCCAGTCCTCTTTGTTCCAAAGCGGAGTGGTGAGTTCAGAATGTGCATAAACTACAGGGGTCTCAACAAGATCACTAGGAAGAGCACAGAGTCACTTCCTAGGATTTACGACCTTCTGGATATGGTCCAGGGTTGCATCATCTTCAGCAAAGTCGACCTCAAATCTGGCTATCACCAGATTGAGAAGGCAGAGGAGGACGTCCACGAGACGGCCTCAAATCTGGCTATCACCAGATTGAGTGGCAGTCCTACTGCAAGGACTACCTGCACTCGCACCTGGACATGACTTCTGGTCGTCATCCTGAAGCCAATGGATTGGCTGAAGTGATGAACCAAGTCCTGTTCCAGTTGCTACGCCCTGTGATCTCTCCAGATCAGCAGGATTGGGATCTCCACTTGGTGAGGGCACAACTCATGTATAACATGTCTGTCCACTCCTCGACAGGGTTCAGTCCCTACCGGCTACATTGGGGACGTGAGCCACGACAGCCTCTCGATGATATCATCGATAAGGCTAAACCTTACCCCAGGCACCGCAGAGTTCGCCAGACGCTATCGTCTGGATGTGGAGAGAGCCCGGGCAAACTTGTTCGAGGCCCAAAAGGCTATGATTGAACAAGCCAACCGCCACAGGCGGCCTTCCCCCATCCGCACTGATGACTATGTCTGGGTGGCCAGTTCTGAGTTGTCGAGAGAGGAGGATACCTCCCCCAAGCTGTTGCCACGCTACCTGGGTCCGTGGCAGGTTCTAGATACAGTGGGCGCTGATCCCTTCGGTCCATCGTACGTTATTGACGTTCCGCTGCATCTACGAACCTATCCGGTCTTTCATGCATCCAAGCTGTTGCCTTTTACGCCAGCTGATGCATTCCCTGACCGGCCCCCTTAATGGGGCCCACCAATCCCTGGTAAGGGGTATGATGTGGTGGCCATTGAGGATGAGTGGGGCACTGGCCCCGACCGGCAGTATCTTGTCAGGTTCGCTTTCCAGCCCCCTTCTGAGAACCGGTGGTTCTACAGAAGAGACCTGATCAAGACAGCAAAGTCCGTTGTGCTGCGGTATGATGCGACTCAGAAAGGTGACCTTCGCCGTTCGCCTCGTCTGCACCCCTAGCTCGGAGGTCCTCGCTCCCGGGGAGGGTAAGCCTGCAATGACTTGCTGATTTCTGCTACCGAGATTGACAGCGAGGCTGTATACTAACCGTAGGGTTAGGTTCGTAAATTTGTTTGGCTGAGGGCTAACCGAGAGACCTGCCTGTTTGGAAATTCCTGAGGGACAGATCTGCAATTCCGGGAAAATACAGGCCCGGTACTGACGAAATTCTACAGCTACCCTAACTGCCTATAGCAGGCCCGGGCTACCCCTAGGACAGACAGGCCCTAAGCGGCCTATACTGCTATATGGTCCTATAGCCTATAGCCGGGTCCGGTAGAGGCCGAGAGGCTGAAACAGCAACGGTACCGGTAGGTCCAGTCAGTCCAGTCTAGGTCTAGGCTCGAGTAGGAAGTCTATAAGTCCGGTAGGGAAAATAGTTGGGGACTTTTGGCTTTTCATTTTTCGGATGACTGCGTTTGTGGCCAACCAAGTTTAACAGCGCTGAATGTCTACAGCGGCACCTGCGACATCAGCTGTGTGAGGCAGCCATAGCCCGCCTAGCTGAGACAGCCATAGCTGGGGCTGTACTCAACGCATCTATCCCCAGGGGATATCTGCGTTTGGCAGGACTATCGGAGGGTCTTCACTGAGTACATGTGGGTACTGCTGCTGCGGTAGCAGCCAGGCAGCCATAGCTGCCTTCTTCATCGTCAGAGTGACTCATCGGCACTGGGGACTACCTCGCTGTTCATGATCTGCATCTGGGTGTTGTATGGCGCTGGCCTCTGGGAGACTGTTTCAGTGCAGCGCTAGACTCTGAGAGTGGAGTAGTGAGTGGAGAGTGTGGTACTGAGGTGGCGAGACACTGG